CAACCTAACTAATAGGGTTCCAACTCCCAGCAACAACAAAAATAAATAAATAAAAAATAGGGAACCACCCCTCACGCTCCACCTCATGATGCTTAATCGACGTAATCAACCTTAATTTGATGCAGTGTGAAAAAAAATGCACAGAAATCAATTATTTTTCAAGAAATATTAAATAGATTCAACATCTTTCTTCAACAAAATTGCAGACTGCACAGATGGTACCTTCCCAAAGTAAAGAGTACTATAGCTTACTAGGGTATATATATTAGACTTAATAGTTACTATATACAGTAATGGACTTCTATTCATTTTACTTCAGATTAAAACTTTGGGTGTCAGATAATTATTTATTAAAAGCTCGACATTTTAAATGAGAATAAGAAAGAAAAGTATGTCTTTGTGCCCCCTTTTCCCTGTTCATGCCCTATCGGCCCCCCTGGCTAAACTCTGCTAGATCCGCCCCTGCACAGTTACCAGCGTCAGCTGTAGAAAAAGATCCTCGAGTAGAAAGTAATATTAAATACATTCTAACAACAGCTGATCAAGCTTAAACGTGCTGCTGTTGTTCAGCCGCTGGTTTCCTCTTTCTGGTGCAAAGTGGGCCAAAAACAAACAAGAGAGACGATCAGCTGATCAGTTTCATGATTGAAGTAGCAGCAAGAAGAGGCAGTCGCTCCATATATCGCTTGTTAAGCTTAATGCAGGAATGCTTTACAAACATTCAGAGATGGACTTACACACTTGCTTTACTTCTCTCGGGATAACTTTGTCGGAGATGAAATGCCGGGTTGCTAGCGAAGCTCCACGTGCTATCCAGACCACCACAGGTCCCGCATGCCACAGCCGCTCTATCACGTGATGCATACTGCTCCGAGTGCTAACGTTCTGAGGTGAGTTACGGCGTGTTGCAAGTTTTGTGAGGTGCTTTCGTGATATTTAATGGATCGGATTACATTTTTTATTTTTCTCCGATATCCGATCCAGTAATTTAGGTCAGTATCGGACCGATACCGATACGTAATATCGGATCGGTCCATCTCTAGTACGTATCACTCCGCGAGGCTCCGCCTACGATAGCCGTAATGCTCCCACAATCCATCAAGCGGTGCGGCTTCGTAGCTTAGCAAAGTTGTACTGAAACATTTGACAGATTTTCGAGCGCCGTGCACATAAAATCGTTTCGAGGTCAGTAAACACAACCAGAGTTCATACATGAGGCACACGGGATTATAAGGGGCTCTGTCGACTTTCAGAAAAATCAAAGGATTGATTTTAAGTGCGCCGTATTTTCCAAACAACACGGTAATAACGGCGGCCCGCTAGCATGCGCTACCAAAAATAGTGCTTTGTTGTATATCTGATGGACGAAAGCCAAACCAGTTCCACACCAGTGAAGCTGCAGCATTTTTACAAACCAGTTCTGGTTCATCGTTTCATTCAATGATCCGCTTTCGCTCTTCTCCTTCTGCGTCGCCGCCGTGTGCGTATGTAAACAAAGGCACTACGCATGCGCGTTTTACCCATATTCTATCTCCATGTTTCATTTTCCTATCGTTGCCCAACATTATACTATTACCGTGAACGGTATGATATGGCCCAGCCCTAACCCTAAACCAGTTCTTTATCTGCTTCAACCAACGAAACAGGGACACCATCACCCATCCTGCCGTTACAGAGAAGGACGACGCCCCCATCCAGCTGGAGCAGCATCAGGTCAGAGCCACACTGTGCAGAGTCAACGTGAGGAAGGCAGCTGGTCCTGACGGTGTAGCTGGTAGAGTGCTTGAAGCATGTGCAGACCAACTAGCAGAGGTTTTCACCACCATCTTCAGCCTCTCACTGCTACAGTCTGTAGTACCATCCTGCCTTAAGTCAGCCACCATCGTTTCAGTGGCCAAGAACACAGTGAGCTGCTTGAATGACCATCGTCCACGTGCTTGAGCAGCCATAATTACCAAATGTTTTGAACAGCTCATCATGTCCCACATTAAAGCTGCCATCCCTGCAGACCTCGATCCACACCAGTTTACATACTGGGCAAACAGGTCGACAGAGGACGCCATAATAACAGCTCTTCACACAGCCCTCACCTGGACAGTAGCAACACCTGTGTGAGAATGCTGTTTGTGGACCAGCTCTGCCTTCAACACAGTCCAACCCCACAAACTGGTTAATAAGCAACTCATGACTCAGCAGCTCACTGTGCAGCTGGATACTGGACTTCCTGCGTGACCCCAGAACATCAGGATGGGAGAGCACACCTCCTCCACCCTCATCCTGAATGTAGGTGTCCCACAGGGGTGTGTCCTCAGTCCCCTCTTATACTCACTTTTCTCCCATAACTGTTCACCAATCCACACCAGTAACACCATTATAAAATTTGCTGACACCACCATCATAGGACTGATCGACAACAGCGATGATTCAGCTACAGAGAGGAGGTTCAGCATCTGAAGCGATGACGACAACAACCTGCATCTGAACACAGCCGAGACCAAGGAGATGGTAATCGACTGAGCACTCCACCCTCTACATTGATGGAGGAGGTGGAAAGTTCCCCGGAGTCCACATCTCGGCCGGCCTCACCTGGTCCACAAACATCTCCCACCAGGTAGGGAAAGCACAACAAAGGCTGTACTTCCTCAGGAAACTACGTCAGGCCCAGTTACCCCAGAGACTGCTAATTAACCCCAACCGCTCCACCATCGAGAGCCTTCTGACCTCCTGCTGCACACTCTGGTTCAACTGCTGCACCATGGAGGGCAAGAGGAAACTGCAGCGGGTGGTGAGGGCAGCAGAGCGGGCAATCGGCACCTCACTGACCCCCTCAGAGACATTTATACTGGCAGACTTCAGCAGAAAGCCAGCATCATCATCAAGGACCCCCCCCCCCCCTTCCCTCTGGTAAACATTACAGGTCCATCAGGTCAAAAACAAACAGACTCAACAGAAGTTTTTACCCACAGGCTGTCAAACATGCCCTACCTCCACCCTGACTGGAGGATAAGTGCACCGCCAACACCCATAAATAAGGTGTAATGTCCATAAATCGTATTTCTATTTATACTTCAATGCAACCAACACCCCTACCTCTTTAAACTGTATTACACACACACACACACACACACACACACACACACACACACACACACACACACACACACACACACACACACACACACACACACACACACACGGGTCTAGAAATGCTTTTTGAGTAAAGGTTTAACTACAGCCAGCTTGAAGGCCTGTGGTACATAGCTGATCATTAGAGATAGGCTGATCATATTTAAGATCGAAGAATTAATTAATGGCAGGACTTCTTTGAGCAGTTTTGTAGGAATGGGGTCTAAAAGACACGTTGATGGTTTGGAGGAAGTAATTATTGAAGTTAACTCAGAAAGATCAATTAGAGAAAAAGAGTCTAACTTAACATCAATGGTACTAAGAGTAGCTGTAGATAATATTACATCTGTGGGATGATCATTGGTAATTTTTTGTGGTTCAGTGGTTGTTGATCAGTCATGAGAATTTGCATAATTAAGATTAATGAACTGACCTCACAGCCCATTGTCCTTCAGTGGGCTGGTTTCAGTCATTATGCAAATGTCCTGTTTATAAGATTGAAACCTGCAGTCAGCTGAGACTGAAGACGTCACCTGATGATGATAAAACGTTTCTCCCACAAAACGCTACGTCCAGATGAACAGAATCAACTCTTAATGACCTTACAGTAGGTCTGCCACGATCAGTCGACTATCAAAATTGTGTACGACTAATTTAATAGTCGATGCGTCGTTGGAAACTCTGTAAGATCCTGAAAGAATCAGGAATAAGTAGGATTTGAAAAACGCAATAACGAACTGAAACAGAAGATGGCAGCACTGCATCTACAAGCTGCCGTTAAATGCCAAGGAAGAAAAAAAAAAAAAAAAAAAAAAGCAGTGTCCAAATTTAGGTGCCGCATCCTTCCGAGGGCGCAATTGTAGACCGATTAATTTCCCTTAGAGATCAATAAAGTATTCTGATTCTGATCACATGACAGCGACGTGACGAAGGCTGTCCAAATTTAGAGACCCCTCCAAATACACCCTTCATTTCCCCAGATTTGAAGGATGGGTCGGGTGTGTCCTTCGTGGCCCAACCTATCCCAGAATTCATAGCGCGGCCCTGCTTAGTTTCCAACAATGGCGGCAGCTAGTTAGTTTTAATGTTACTCTTATTATTCTTTCTGGGTCACAAAATAAACGTTTAACATATTTTCATGGAGAATGTAGCTGTGTAAACCTCAAATATCTGCTCAGTTTATCAAGACACCACATATTTTCAAAAGCGCTCCGACGTTTTCGGAGACGTCTGTTACCCACTAGCTCGATAGCGAGCCGGGGGCTAGGCTCACTAGCGCCGTGAGAACACCGGACTCCCGGCAAATCGTTTTCAAACCCACCGCCGTCTTTCGCTACTCAGGTTAAACATGATATATGAGTCACTTAGATAACTTAAAATGTTATTGTTTGGCTTTTTTAGTATTTTATTTGTTCCTGAGTAAATCAGTTTGGCTGAGATTAAAGTTTTTACACAGCTGAATAAACGTCAAGCAGACAGCTGATTATCAGAAGTGTGAGATGCTCCAGAATTTACTCCGGTGTCCTGTTATATTCCAGTTTGGATTCAGGAGACAGACACTTTCTCTACTTTCAAGATCAGGCTTCAAACTTTTTTTTGCTAAAGCATATCGTTAGGGCTGGACCAGGTGACCCTGAATCCTCCCTTAGTTATGCTGCAAAAAGCCATCAGTCACCATGGTGATGTACCCAGTAAGAAGTGTGAGAGGAAAACCCCAACCCTGCCTCACAGCAGCGTCCTCGGGTGAGTTTAAAGCTGAATGTTTGTTTAAACAGAGACACATCCACCTTCTGTCCTCCAGAAACATCCCTGCAGCCTCAAAGTAAACGTCCCGCAGAGCTGTGATCAGGATGCTCCCTCAGAGGGACACTCACCTGTCCTGTGCAGCTTGATTTGGGGTTTCCAGGTGATATCCAGCAGTCTGCGCTGACGCTCCATCTCTTCCTCGTACTGCACAGGATCATTATGAACTTCAGGCTCCTCCTTCAGTCCCAGCTGCTCTCCCTGCTGACTGCTGCACAGTTCCTCCTGTTCCTCTTTAATCTGTGGAGCTTCTGGTTCCTCCTGCTCCACACTGGAGCTCCTCTCCTGGTTCCAGAGCTGCTGCTCAGGGAGAACCTCCTCCTCCTCCTCCTCACAGACCTGCTGCTGTGGGACGTCTGGAGGACAGAAGAAAGAAGTCACAACCACAGAAACATTAACAGGACTTTACAGCATGACTGCGTCGCTCGTGTGTGAGAGTAAAGCCGTCCAGTCAGCTGTAAGTCACTGATCTCAGATCTGCATTTATTCAGACGAACATCTGGAAGGTAAAGCCCCCTCAGCACAGCAGCAGCACCGCACTGCCACTACAGTTCATAAATTCAATATTAGGTGTCACTGTGCCGAGCTGCACATTAAACTCTGTGTCACTTCTTTCAGTCGCGTCCGTGACTCTGAACAACAACATGGTGGACTTTGTTGTTCTCACACGTGTGTAAATGTGACCACAGGAACCGTGCACGTGCTGTGTACCACTTTAGCTTTTATGTGACATCATCACAAAGGGCCCGGGCGACCACTCTGACGTCACTGATGGAGAAATAAAAAAGACGTATTGTTATGACGTTAACACTGAACTCTTTACAGCTCTGCAGAAGAAGAAAGGAAACCAAGGAAAAACCTTTTCAGGCTAGATTACTGAGTTTAGAAGGTGCACCTGAACGCACCATCAAACACACGTTTCACCGCCAAACAAAAAGTTTTTCAAACGATTCACAGGATTGAGTGATGGATCCAGGTCAGAGAAAAGCTCAAATCCAGGCTGATTTCAGCGCCTGCTGTTTGAATGCAGCGCAGCGCAGTCCTGTCCTCTGTTTGCTCTTTGTTAGCTCACATCTCCAAAAAGTCCTCACAATCAGAAACGTCCCGCAGAGCTGTGATCAGGATCCTCCCTCAGAGGGACACTCACCTGTCCTGTGCAGCTTGATTTGGGGTTTCCAGGTGATATCCAGCAGTCTGCGCTGACGGTCGATCTCTTCCTCGTACTGGACGATCGTTTTTTCAAACTCCAAGAATATTTGTTCAGCAGCAGCAGTTAGTCGCTCGTTGATGAACTCTCTCAGATACTGAACTGAAGGCATCGTTGCTGCCGCGGCTCACACACGCGGCTCACACACAGCACAAAGCCTCCAAAAGTTCACGCTGGAACAACCAAACTGCCGCTTTTAAAAATGTTTACTTCCGCCGGATGTCCCGCTCTGAAGTTCCGGCAGGAGGAGGATGTTCAAATACTTTGTTCCGCTTGGAATAAACGTCCTTCTTTCTTCCTAAAACCTATTTAAATGTACCAAACTGAGCCATAAATACATAAACAGCGTGTTACAAATAATAAAGGAGAGAAAATGGAAAGAAAAGGCCTCGTTCAGGTTTTTATCCATAATGAATCATATCCATTCTACTACTGATCATTCATATACTCAACACCAAAGAGTCTGACGTGAATGAATACTAACACACGGCTTTATTTTATTGTTTGATGTGGGTCTAAAATAAATGAGGAATTACACACGCTGTTCATTAAATGTGTTTGTGGCGTGCTCAGAGTCTTCATTGGTGGAAATCAGATCAAACTTCAGGATCTTCGACGTATTACTGCTGTGTGATTTTTATTACTATTAATGAAATGGATGAAAAGCTGACCCTGAGTAAATGTGGTTATCCCAGCTGGACTTTTGTCAAAGCTGGAGAAGAAAAAACCCTCAGTGATCCCGTATGTGTCAGCAGTATGGGAACAATTGAGACCCATTTTCTCTAAACACAGCGTCTTTGTGGCTTTTAAACCACAAAACAGGTGAACTCAGGTGCCTGTCCACATTCATGAGTGATGCAGTCATGCTGTAAAGTCCTGTTAATGTTTCTGCGGTTGCATCAGTAACTTCTTTCTTCTGTCGCTCCAGACGTCCCACAGCAGGAGGTCTGTGAGGAGGAGGAGGAGGTTCTCCCTGAGCAGCAGCTCTGGAACCAGGAGAGGAGCTCCAGTGTGGAGCAGGAGGAACTAGAACCTGATTTATTGCTATTACTGAAGGTCCGCGGCTCCGAACCATAGGAAAGGGACCTCTGACTAATACGTCGGGTTCGTGTCGGCTCGTAGCCGAAAAATAGCTTTACTTTGTTGTGTGGGTCAACTTTGCTAGCGAGAGACAGAGAGAGGCGTTGAAAGACTGCTGCAACAGAACTTATTGTTTCAGAGGAAAACACGAACACGGTGTACAGTCGAGTCTTAACAGCTTACTTTCAGCTGGGCTCGTCAGGCACTCTTCTTGGCTGCAGTGGTTATTATTATATTTACATGCTTCCAGCTCCCGTTTCTGCTCCGTGACAGCTCGTACTTTTCCTTTATCTCCCTCCCTCGCTCACAGACACATAACGAGTATGGCGGTCCATTCTCGCTGCAGCACGGACTATACTGCCCATGAGGCTACATTCTTTAGGGCGATGCCTGTAGCATTCTGCCTGTTAGCTTAGCCCAACAACAACAACAAAAAGGCGCTCTGTCACCCAGGAAACACACAGTCGCAGAGAGAGAGTGTCACCCTGTAACCATGGTAACCGTAACGCTGCCGCCTGGAACAACAGAACGTAGCTGTACACTTCTGTGGAACCAGCTTCCAGTTTGGATTCAGGAGACAGACACTATCTCTACTTTCAAGATTAGGCTTCAAACTTTCCTTTTTGCTAAAGCATATAGTTAGGGCTGGACCAGGTGACCCTGAATCCTCCCTTAGTTATGCTGCAATCCGGTTGTTCAGTGATGACGCGACGAATCCTACTTCCGGGTCTAAAGTAGTCTGCGTTTAATATGGCTTTTGTGTTGTTAACATGTTTAATGTTTTGTATTTTCTTCTATTTGATCTCAAAAAGCTCTTAAAACAGTCAGTGATCACTGTTGACCTCCCTCGGCTTTTATTACCGCTAATCATTTATTTAAGCTCAGTTTTTAAAACCTTAGGATGTAACTACAGCCCAGCCCATGCAGCAGTATATGAATGACTAACCTCGTATTGTGGATGGATTATCTCAGTTGTTCTCCTGGCTGAAGTTTGGTCCTTTTACAGCATCCTGCCATGCGATTACATTTGTTCCTGACCACCGAGAACACTCACGTTAACTTTTATCGAGTGGAAAAAAAGTTAGCTTGTTTATATTATGCTAACATAGCTGTGTCGCTAGCGGTCACATAGCACATCATTATATACCAGCTAGCCCAACTTCAGTAACCCTACAAACGTCACTGCTGCTTAGTTTTCTGTCTTCATTTATGCTGGAAGTGATAACAGAGCTGTACGTTTGAATTTGTTTCCAAAACCCCGCAGTCAGGACATGCTATATTGTATTTAGATAGAAGCTAGCGAGCTAACTCCCTGCTAACTTCTAACTCCGTTAAATGTCATAAATTCGGTTTTCATGGATGCCTGGATGTTAAACTCAATTGTTACACCTGGTAGAGCAGAACGCTGATCATTTTATTAAAGATGAAAGACTTTAGACAGTTTTTCAACTCTCAGTAATGCCACAGTGATCGTTTGATATATGGACCTGCAGCGGAGTTTAGGTCCAGACACGGCTAGTGACGTCAGACTGAACAACCGGATAGACATAGGCTGCCGGGGGATTCCCATGATGCATTGAGTTTTTCCTTTCCAGTCACCTTTCTCACTCACTATGTATTAACAGACCTCTCTGCATTGAATCATATCTGTTATTAACCTCTGTCTCTCTTCCACAGCATGTCTTTATCCTGTCTTCCTTCTCTCACCCCAACCAATCACAGCAGATGGCCCCGCCCCTCCCTGAGCCTGGTTCTGCCGGAGGTTTCTTCCTGTTAAAAGGGAGTTTTTCCTTCCCACTGTTGCCAAAGTGCTTGCTCATAGGCGGTCATATGATTGTTGGGCTTTTCCTCTGTATTATTGTAGCTTCTACATTACAATATAAAACACCTTGAGACAACTGTTGTTGTGATTTGAAGCTGTGTAAATAAAATTGAATTGAATACATATGGCTAAAAGGATTCAAATGCAGCAAGTATACACGTTTCACATTAATGTAGTCTATAACCTAGTTATTTTCTGTAGCCTGCATAATTAACCTCCTAGGACCTGGCGTCCACATATGTGGACATCACATTTTGGGTTGCGTTGACCAAAATACAAAAGTTTTCTCTATAAGGGCCTGATATCCACTTATGAGGACATTACACTGCCACTGTCCTATCGAGATTTAAAATGAATATCCTCATATTTGGATCTAATTTTTCTCAGAAACGAAAATCAGGTGAAAAAAAAAATACATCAGGTAATTCTTTGTTTTAACATTCATCTGGTCTCAATCAGCCCAAATAGCATAAGAAATTAAAAATGCATGCCAGGGAAGAGTTCGGGTCTTAGGAGGTTAAACATCTCAGTTACATAAACATGTCATGTACTGTGTAGCCTTGTTAGAAAAATCACATTGTTACATGTTTACATTTACACAAAATGAAAGAAATCTGCACCTTCATAAACAAAAATTAAACCCAATTTTTCATGATTTGTTAGGTTCTCACTCTGGGGTCCAAAATATAATTGTCTATTTTGACTCCTTTTGGTTTTACATTATTTATATGTCACCTTCAAATGTTCTGACCTTTTTTGGTATCATTCTCTTCAGCTCAACCTCATGGTTCTGAATTTAGTTATTTTTTCATTGACATACTGTGTTAACACAACTGATCTGAAATCATAAAAAACAAAAACAAAATCCTAGCAGTAGTTATATTTTTTACTATAGAAATCACACCCGTTTAGTGAATTATTTTCATAACTTGAAATGCAAATATAAATTGTACATGTTGAAAACGTATGCACAAATTTTGTAAACAACTATTTATATAAAAATGCAATGCAATTTGTGTACAACCATTTAAAAATACTGCTATAACTAAATAAGAGAACAATCAGGTGTCACAATAAGATGGCCCACAAACTGTGCCAGTAAAAAGCCACAAGACAGAGGAGGACACCACAGACCTGAACCCTGCAGGCCTATAAATATAACGCTAAACAGCAAAAACAAACTTCACAACTAATTCTGAACTAGATTTTTCAAAATGAAAAGAAACAGCTCACAGTATAATTTGATAAATCCGTGGCAACAACACACTTCCTCTTTCCTGTAAAAGTTTGCATAGACAATTTCCCAAAAAATAAATAAATTACTACTTAATGAGATGCTTTTCTGTAAGAATCCAAAGGACAGCTTGACACCTCACCATTAGCATGAACTCTATCCTGTTGGCACATGTCATTAACATAATCACAGTGAAGCACAGTCCAAAGGTGCTTTCAGTATGAGGACTGCTTTTCTTTTCTACTTTGAAAAATGTATGCATCAAATAAGAACCTGCTACACGTGAGTCCTTTTCTAGTTTCCCACAACTACAGCGTCTCACCTGAGTGCCCTCTCATGTGGGCAGTAAAAATACCACGATCACTGAAACTTTTCCCACAAGTCTCACAGAAATACTACTTTGAGTGTGTTCTTACGTGGACTAACAAGAGTTCACGAGACCGGAAGCTTTTTCCGCAGAGCTCACAGGGATGTGTTTTCTCGCCTGTGTGGATCCTCATGTGGACAGACAGAATATTTTTCTGAATGAAGCTTTTCCCACATGTTTTGCAAACATACGGCTTCTCACCAGTATGAGTTCTGATGTGTCTTTTAAGTGTGGAGGAGTCAATGAATCTTTTCTCACAGATTTGACAGGGGTAAGGTCTCTCGCCCGTGTGTGTTCTCATGTGGATGTTTAAGTTATTACTTTGACAGAAACCTTTCCCACTAATTGTGCATGAGTACGGCTTCTCGCCCGTGTGAACCCTCATGTGATATTTCAGTGTTAGTGTGTCTCGGAAGGTTTTTTCACATACATTGCAGGGGAACGGTTTCTCCCCTTTGTGGATCTTCATGTGAACAGATAAATGGCAGTTTTGGCTGAATCGTTTCCCACATGTTTTGCATGAATACGGCTTCTCGCCTGTGTGCGTTCTGTAATGTATCTGCATCTGAGATTTTTTCTTGAAAGTTTTTTCACAAACGTAACATTTTACAGACTTCACACCTGTACCTGTGTTACTCTCGCTCTCTGACATAACTGAGCTGTCTGCATTGTTATTCCGATGCTTCTTTTTTGACTCTGACTCTACGGTTTTAGTTGATCTTGCTTCTTTATAATGTTCTGCTCGCTGATCTCTGCTGTTGTTGTTCACAGAACTCTCAAAGAGAAGCTGCTCCCTGTCTCCTTCTGGTTCACTGTGGTCACTTTCCTCATAAGTTTCAGTCACCATAAAGGTATCCGTCTCCTCCTTCAGTCCCAGCTGCTCTCCCTCCTGACTGCTGCACAGTTCCTCCTGTTCCTCTTTAATCTGTGGAGCTTCTGGTTCCTCCTGCTCCACACTGGAGCTCCTCTCCTGGTTCCAGAGCTGCTGCTCAGGGAGAACCTCCTCCTCCTCCTTACAGACAGGCTGCTGTTGGACGTCTGGAGTGTCAACAACAAATGAAAGAAGAGACATGATTAAAAACACAGCAAATAAACTCTGGTTAAAATCATAAACCATAGAATCCCCTGGTAAAATGCATATGTTTACAGCCCGATACAGAAACTGGTTTGGTTGCTACAGATACAACATCCTCCTGTATGGTGGACGATGTTGTTACAACTCACCTGTTTTCATTGGATTAAGGCTTAAATTTTACTAACTCAAGTCGTCTGTACAGAGCTCTTGAGTTGTGCTGTTGGTGTATTTCTAACGCAGAATCAAATCATTTGAATATGGTGACATGTCCACGCTATACAAAGAGAGAAGTACCTGTGGCCAAAAAGCTGAACCTCGGTCTCATTAGACCAAAATGTTTTTGGAAGACTTACTGTATTTTTATGCCAACTGTAGCCGGGCTTGGATGTTTTCCTTTGTTCGAAAAGGCTTCCCTCTTTGACACATCCCCCACAGTCCAGACTTATGAAGGGAGACGGCTGTCACTGCTTAACAGAAGTTCTTGCAGCTCCTTCGGTGATGCTGCAGGTCTTGCATCGCCACTGTCGTCCCATATTTTGTCTTCATTGTGTTCCAGGATAAATCTAATGCTGTGGAATTTATTTTCCTTTCTTCTGACTGATGTCTTTCAACAATGAGGTTGCTTTCATGCTTTGTGAGCTCTCTGTAAACTAAGACATTAACCCAAGAAGCCTGAAAGCAGTGACTAAATCACAGTATTAGTCTAAGTGTGAGCACACTCATGCAACCAGCTTGACCTGACAGATTTGTTGGACTGTACAGGTTAAAGGTCACGTCAAAGGTGGGAAGGTGCTTCCAGGTCCTGTTCCAGGTCTGCCCTGACCTGCTGTTCCAGGGTAACTACTGCTAGCTTAATGAAAGAAGAAACCAAATTAAAAATAAAGTGTCAAACACGCCTGATCACGCGCTCTGATGGACTGATGCAGAGGAGCTGTCACACTCCTCCACGACGCTGTAGAACACCTTAGAGATGCCACGAGAGCTTTGCAGATATTTACTGAGTGTGTAAGCAACAGCCAGGTGCTCATAACCAGCTTCACAATGAGCTGATCATTGGCAGTGTGAGCCTTGCTATGAAAGCAGATGTTTTGTTGGTCTCGAGCATTCAGGTGTGTGTTAACATGATGCTGAGGAGGAAAGACATCAGCAGTGATCTTAGAAAAGAAACTGCAGCTGCCCATCAACCTGGAAAGGTTATAAGATCATATCAAAATAAACCAAAGTCCATCATTCTGCAGTGCAGAAGATTAATGAAACAGGTCAGAGCATGCAACAGACCCAAGAGCTCATCTCAGACTCTTCAGTTTGCAGGTTTAAGCTTAAACTTCATGACAGTATGACTAAAAAAAAAGCAGGGGAAGGCCTCTTCTGTCTAAAGAGAAAGCCTCCTGGAGCAGTATCCTTCAGACAGACAAGACCAAAGTGGAGATGTTTGTCCATAACGCACAAAATCAAACCCAGCATATCAGCAAAAACACCTGAGAGCAGCTGTCAGCACGGTGGAGGAGGGACGATGATCTCAGTGCACCGTGAACTCTTGTCTAAGTGTTCTAGAGTCAGTGTGAGGCCGTCTGTCCCACAGCTGAAGCTCGGACCATCAGCAGCAGCACAAAGATCCAACAGAACGGCTGAAACAGGAACGAATGGAGCAACTACGATGGTTTGGTCAGAGTCCAGAGCTCAACCTGAGTGAGACGCTGTCAGGCTCTCAGGTTTGGATTCTGATGAGTGGCTGAGTAACTGGTTTTTATGTTGCTTTGTTTACATATTCCACACTCCGTATTCCAGATGTTACATCTGTAGATTCCTCGTTTTCATTAAATGATCCTGTTGACAAGATTACAGAGCTCAGCAAAAAAAGGCCTCTATGTCCAGCTGCACTGTTATCTTCAGACAACAATGAAAGTCTTTTTATAAAAGTGAACAAAAAGGCCTCGGCCTCCTGTCTCTGTCTTTCTGTAACATCGATGAGGAGCCCACATTTTCCTCACCACACCACCGATCAGCTGGACAGCTGATTAAGTAGAACATGAGCAGAGAAATAAAAATGGGGAAGAGGTTAAAGTGGATTCAGCAGGAGGGAGAACCCTTGAACCCATCACAGTGCAGCAAACTCAGTTTGATTAGCAGCAGTTTTATGAACAAACACAATGTGACAGATTTAAAAACATGAGGACTTCCATGTGAACGACAACTTCCTCCAGCGAAACTCTGATAAAACATTAATTACTGGTCCCGACCATATGATCTCAGAAATTAGGCAGCATTTCAGCTTCTGTTAAACCAAGCCTTCGAGACCTCGGTGTCGTATTTGACAGCTCGATGTCGCTTGGTCCACAACTGCTTTCATCGTCTAAGGAATATCTCAAAACTCAGGCTAATGGTGTCAAAGGCTGAAGTGCAGATGATTATTAATGCTTTTATTTCTTCCGGTTTGGATTTTTGCAAAGGTCTTTCTACTTGTTTTAGTTCTAACCTTTCAGGCTCCCCAGTGCATATCGGACCTGCTGAAACTGCATTCATCGTCCCGAGCTCTGAGGTCATCAGGTCACAGACTGCTGGTCGCCGCACGCACTCCATTTAAACTCGTGGTGATCGGGCCTTTCAGGCTGTGGAATTCTCTTCTACTGTTTTTACGCTGAAGACATTTTTATATAGACAAGCTTTCAATTAATTTTTATGTTGTATTTGATTGTTTTACATTGTTATTTGTTGTATTTTGATTCCTAGTATTGTGAAGCACTTTATGATTTTTATCTGTGAAAAGCGCTGCATTACAGAAGTGTCGAGCTGCCACTCAGGCAAACAAAAACCAGAGCTACATCATGTTATAATGCAAAAACTTTATTGTTCTAATAATAAACTTTTCTGCCGCGCTTAGCAAACGTAAGCTTATAATACGGTAGGAACATCATGTCAATTCAGACTTTAGAAGCTTCTTCGGTATTTAATCCGGAAAAGGACTGAATTTGATGAATAAAGCGCCAAAATGTCACAGCGTGATAATAAAAGACCCTCGGCTAGCTCCAGAACAAAGCTACTGCTAAAGGCTAATGCTAGCCAAACAGCCGTGTTGGTAAACCAACAACTGCCGTGACTACTCGGCTATTTCACTACCTCTCCCAATAACTGAGGATGTGATGGGCGAGTTTCCACCTCTACCAGTCTCATCCAGCCAGTCTCCGGCGCCAAAGAAAGGCGTTGCGCTCAAAGGAAGATAGCGTGGATGTTGCTGAAACTATCAAAGCTAATAAACGAAAGAATGGATGACCTCGCGTTACAGATTGCCGGAGTCAGAAGAATGGTGGGCTTTGCATGTGAGAAGATAAAAGATGTCAAAGGCAGAGACAAGCTCCAAAGAGGAAGAGCGTATTACACGCCTTATAAAACACTTTATCGACGAGGCTAATACTGAGAATTCCTACAGCACAAAGTGGGAAATTTGAAACAAGTGTTGAGACGGTGTGGGGCAAAAAAAGTCGAGTGCAGCAGCAGAAGAAAATCAGATTGTTCTGTCATATATTGACTCCCACCAGACGAGGTCTCGGAGGAGGACAGATTACGTCTTAGGACCTTTCAATCTAAACTGGATGAGATTTGCGCCAGAAAGCTGAAGGAGCTTTTGTTCGTTCAGGAAAAAGATGGATGGACTTATTACTTTAATTCCCAAACCTAAGAAGGACCTACTTTCTACAGACAACTGGAGACCAACAAGCCTCCTAAATAATGATTGTACAATATTAACTCTATTGCTAGCTAGAAGAATTAAATATATTTTGGATGATATTGTAGATGAGACACAGTCTGGTTTTATGACAAACAGGCACATCTCCAATAATATTAGACTCGTCTTGGATATTCTGGACTACTCAGCATCTGATGACTCATTGATCCTTGTCCTGGACTTCCATAAAGCCTTTGACTCAACTGAGCATGAGTTTATATTTCTTACACTTCAGAAATGTGGTTTTGGTGATATCTTCTGCAGAGCTATCAAAACTCTGTATTCCAATGCTAATAGCTGTGTTAGAATGAAAAACAGCACCACTTCTCGTTTTAGTCTTAATCGAGGTGTAGGCCGATCAGCGCGGATCTTTTTACTTTGCACCCAAATTCTTGCCTCTCATATTTCGAATAGCCCTGTGAAGGGTATAAACATAGCAGTCAGTTGGCAGATGATACCACAACCTTTCTTTAAAATGCCAACCAGGTGCTGACTGCTTTACATTTACAGGATTTCTCAGAAGGGTCTGGATTGATGCTAAACTTCAATAAATGTCAGTTATTACCTGTCAAAGAGTGTAATGTTCAGAGTCTTTGTAATATAACAGTTAAAAATGAAGCAACATATTTAGGTCTGATGAGCAAAGATAAAAAACAAAACAAAAACAACAGAATTTTACTAAATTTTCCCCAAATTATTAAAAAATCTCAAACCAAGTGAAATCAGTGGTTGCAGAGAGATTTAAGTTTAAAGGGGGGGTATTGCTCTGAAAAGCAGAAGGTCTGTCTCGACTGACTTATGCAGCAATTTCTCTGCATGTGGACGGCAAAACTTGTAAGGATGTTGACCGAATGCTCTTCCACTTCCTCTGGAAAAACGGGACACATTACATCAGCACGAGTGTAGTGATGAATGACGATGAACACAGAGGTTTTGGATTCCCTGCTCTAAACAATACATTAAAGATTAACCAGACAAAGCATTTTCCTAAAAATCAGGTCTCCATCTGGAATTGTATTCCTCACTACATTTTCTCTAAGTTTGGGGGTCTAAGTTTTGTCTTAGGTTGTGATTGTAATATAGATAAGCTTCCAGAAAACCTGTCGACGTTTCACAAACAAGTTCTATTAGCTTGGTCCCTTATATATAAACACAACTTTACACCCCATACGTGTCCAATTTGGAATAATAGGAACATAGTGTATAAAAATAAATCATTATTTTTTTCTAGGTGGGTTGAGAAACAGATTGTTTTAGTGAAACAGCTGTTTAATCCTAATGTGCAGCTTATGTCTTATCCAGAATTTTTAAACACTTATAAATTTTCAGCCACATCCAAACAATATGTCGTATTATTTGATGCAATACCTCCGCGTATTATAATGCTTTCTACAGGTATTCAACCTTGCATATCATCTGCCTCTCTGAACCCTGTGGGTTCACACACTGGAAGAATCTGTCTGCTAATACGAATATTCCTGCTTTGTTCCAGAGAGCATCTCTTATTGGAATTCCTTTGTCAGTGACATTAACGAGAAAAATTCCTAACAAGTATCTGGGAAAAATTAAAGTGAAATAAGTCTCATTTAAAATACTTCATAAATATTATCCTGCTAATCATTATATGACAAAGGTCAAAGGGGACATAAATATGAACTGCGGATGTTGTGGAAGCCATCCTGAGACTGCGCAGCACCTCTGATCTGTTCACATACAACGTTTTGGACTCCGGGACATTCATCACTGGACATCTCGACAAGGACTTTACTCTGAAACGGGAAAATGTTGGATTTTGTTTATTTCGAAGGCAAAAAAGAAGGTGATATATACTTTACAATAAATTTGTTAGTTATCTTAGCTAAATTTTATTTCCACAAATGCAAATACAGTATCCAAAACCTAATTTAAACTCTACTATAATGATACTCTCTTACATAAGATTGATTCGTGGATCACTTAATAAAAACGATTTTGTGCTATTTAAAATCATTTGAACATATGTAACTTCTTAATTCGTGCACATTCTCTGTTTTTTAATAAAGGTTTTGGAAAAAAGAAAGAAGAGAAAAAGTCGGACCCGAGAGGAAACCGGAGCCGAGGCTCCACCTGCGCTCACCTGCCGTGATCTCCAGCAGAGCTGTGATCAGGATCCTCCCTCAGAGGGACACTCACCTGTCCTGTGCAGCTTGATTTGGGGTTTCCAGGTGATATCCAGCAGTCTGCGCTGACGGTCGATCTCTTCCTCGTACTGGACGATCGTTTTTTCAAACTCCAAGAATATTTGTTCAGCAGCAGCAGTTAGTCGCTCGTTGATGAACTCTCTCAGATACTGAACTGAAGGCATCGTTGCTGCCGCAGCTCACACACTCGGCTCACACACTCGGCTCACACCGGAGCAAAGCTAACGGTCCAGCCACCGGATGTCCGTCCTCACAGTTCCGGCAGCTCTTCTTCAACTTCCGGTGCATTACCGCCACCTTCTGGATGAGAACAGCTTTTTTGCTCTTAAAACCCTGAAACTACATCACCTGTGTCGCTTTGTAATATTTCTTTTATTCATAATTGAACTCTATTTTTCTGAAAGTCAGATTTGCCTTTCCCGTCTATATTAACCACATTCTAACATTACTTGCTCAGATGATCCTTTTTAGTGTCATATAAACTGTATGACCAAACCTTAGTGCTGAGATTATATCTTCTGCTCTATGACTTCTTCTGGAGTTTAATCTCTTTTCAGACGACAGAAAAACCCAAATGTTCTATTTAAAAGAAAACCATCAGTATTCATACGCTCTGTGATTTATTCCCACAGGCGTTGATTTAGTTCAGCTTTATCATCGCTCCGTCCTGACAGAGCTGTTTATCGAGCTCCGACTAAAGAATAAAAACAGAATTCAAACACAGGACTTAACGGGTACAAACGATCCTGTTTCAGGGTCACATATTAACAGTTGTAGAAAGCTGTTTGCTGCCAACAGGAAAAAGAAGAAAGGATAAATCTGAGAATCTGTTTTTCCTCCAGAGGCTCGTCACAGAAACACGAGACTTTGGAGAAATGTCTGGACCTCCTACGAGGGATCTTCCAGGAATGGTGGCGTTTTCCGGAGCTCTGATTGGTCAGCAGGCACTTTCATACCTGCTGATCTCAAAGCTGTTTGCAGCGTAGGTTACCATGGTGATATGCCCCAGTAAGAAGAAACCAGGGTTAACGCTGGTGACGTGGATTAGAGCTTTAGTGCACAAAAACAACCATAAATAAACTGAGTCGAGTCATTTTGTTGTTGTGGATCAAACAATGACGAGCTTCCAGCTGCTCGCCGCAGCAGGTCAGTCAATGTTTTATTGACTCGAGGGGGCAGAGTTCAGTCAGTGGATGGAGAGCATCCATGTATGTCTGAACTCTGACGGGGTCATTCTAACATGTGAACTTGCTCAATCATTTTCAGTTATGCTCTATTCTGTTTACCCGTCACATAAAACCCCCAGCACATTTAAATTTGTGGCTGTGACGTGTGGAACAGCTCATAGGTCATAATCGTTCAGGGGGAGGGCAGCTTCTCTCAGAGTGCGAGGTGAGGGTGAGGCCGCTGTGACTGAAACTTTCTCTTATTTCATAAACAGGGCAAAAGAAAAACATGATCACAATTTAGAAGAAACTTTATTTATACAGGTTACTTTAACAACAACCTACACTTTGTTAGTGTCACCTCTACAGTCTGAAATGATACAAAGTTACCGTAAGTATGACACACGAAGGGTAAAATGAAACTGGGAGGATTGCAGCCACGACAGAATCCAGGTCAGGAACCGTGGAGGAGAACATGACAGGAACAGAGCGCGTCGGTACGGTTACGGTTGGATGGACGAAGCAAAGGAAAACGGCTGCGTGAACGACACGAGCTGACGAGCTCCTTTGCCGTCGGAGCCAAAAGTCGAGGCGGGAGGCAGACGCCAACGCCCCGCTCCGACCTGCAGCTTTCCAGGCTACGACTCCTCACCTGTGTGAGTGTCCAGGTGCTCCAACAAGCTGCGACTAGACGGAAAAGTGGCGCTGCACGCGTCGCAGGGATACAGCTCCTCGCCGGCGTGCGTCTTCATGTGCACGGACAGGATGCTTTTCTGACGGAAACTTTTCCCGCAGCTCTTGCATGAGTACGGCTTCTCGCCCGTGTGCGTTCTCATGTGCACGGACAAGATGTTTTTTTGGCGGAAGCTCTTCCCACAGGCTTTGCAGGGATACGGCTTCTCGCCCGTGTGCGTTCGCTCGTGGATCGTCAGATCGCTTTTTTGAGCGAAACCTTTACCGCACGTTGTGCAGGAATACGGCTTCTCGCCCGTGTGAGTGCGCATGTGCACGGACAGAATCTTTTTCTGGCGGAAACTTTTCCCGCAGGCTTTGCAGGAATACGGCTTCTCGCCCGTGTGCGTTCTCATGTGCACCGACAAAGTGCCGCTGAATCGGAAACTCTTCCCACATTCTTCGCAGGTGTGCGGCTTCTCATCGGTGTGCGTTCTCACATGGACCAATAGGTGACCCCTCTGAATAAAACCTTTCCCGCATATTTCACAAGCGTATGGCTTCTCACCTGTGTGAAGCCGCATGTGGCTCAGCAGGTGACTGCTCTGAGTAAAACCTTTCCCGCACGTTTCACAGGAGTACGGCTTCTCGCCCGTGTGGGTTCTCATGTGACCCAACAGGTGAGCCCTCCGAGTGAAACTCTTCTCACATGTTTGGCAAGTATACGGCTTCTCGCCTGAGTGGATTTTCTGGTGTTCCTTTACGTAAGAGTTTTTCTTAAAGGCTTTTCCACAAACATTACATTTAAAAGGCTTTTTACTCGAGTCGGCGTCGCGCTGACTCTCTGACACCGGACAGCTGCCGGGAGCGCCGTCAGAGTGAAGCTGGTGACCGTTAGCCTCTGGTTCACTGTGGTCACTGTCATCAAAAGCAGTCACCAAGAAGGCGTCGGTCTCATCCTTCAGGACGAGCTGCTCATCCTCCTGGCTGGTGCGCACTTCCTCCTGTTCCTCTTTAATGTGTAGAGGCGTCGGCTCCTCCTGGTCCTCACTGGAGTTCATCTTCAGGTCACACAGCTGCTCCTCCTCACAGACAGAGAGACAAACCACGAAAACATTAGTTCAAACTACAAATGACACAACAGTGTCCTCACACACACACACACACACACACACACACACACACACACACACACACACACACACACACACACACGTATAGTTGTTGTCTGAAAATGAAGCATCTTTATTTCAGTTTCATTGCCACGGGATAAAACAGATTGGTTTTTAATTCAACACGTCGTCTTTTATACATTTCTGGGATTCCCTCATCCTCAGTCAGGTGATCTACGCTACGCTGCTCTTTGTGGACTTCAGCTCATGTCCTGGTCACAGACCGGTGACCAGCTGACGACCCCTCACTGCCTCACTTCTGTGTGATTGCTCCCAGGGTAGACGAGCGGGGCCCCACATCACCCGAGCCTAAACGCTGGCTCCACCCTTTACACCCACATCCACACCCCCACCCAGTCCAGCAATAGCATCATCAATTCTGAGGACGAGACAATCCCAGTGACACAGAGGAGGACCTGACCCGCAGCACAAGCACAGTACTGGTTTAAAAGCTGCTGTGTCCTCCTGTCACTGCAAAGGGAACGCCCGGACATGCTGTGTGGTTGTCCAACAGCACGGAGGAACGCACTCCCAGAACATCTGGAGATATATCGGCCCCGTTTGTGAAAGATGCGTCTCGAGCCGGACGCTTTGTGTTTGGAAGCTGCACATCAGGAACAAGGACAAACACTTTAAAAGACAACAAATCGTGCGAGACGTGGAAATGTCTGGAACATGTGCTGCTTTTGCGTTTCATAGAAAACGCCAAAAACCGTCTAATCAGAGGCGTTTGAAAGCTTTAATGACATCACTCATTTATGAGCTTGACCGTGCGGCACCTTTGAACACTAAAGAACCACGTGGACAATAAAGCGGCCGTATATACACGAGACAGGAAAGCATGTTCCTACAAAACATGTAACATCCGAAACAGAGACGACGATCACACAGCGTGGCGTATTGTGCCGCACGCCATGAATGATGACCTCCACTTGTGTCCCTAATCTAATTGTTTTGCCTTTAACAGAAACAACAACAGATCCCGACCCTCGCCCGTCTGCTTTGGTGGCACTGATGTCACATCCTGTCAGTATCTGGGAGTCGAGCTGGATGAGAAGCTGGAGAGGTCTGCCGGCCGGACGCCGCCTACAGAAAGAGTCTGAGCCGGCTCAGATCCTTCAGTGTGTGCAGCTCTGAAGCTCCCAGCCTGGAGGAGGTGATCAGTGACTCCCAGTTTCAGCAACAGGTTCCTTCAGCCTGGCTGTGTGAGGGAACAGGAGCTCGTTCGTTCTGCTGCTGTCATTCATCCACTGGTGTCAGATCCACACATGTGGAACGGGATTAGTCACACCTCACAGTTATCTATCAATATCTCTGCTTCTACGCTCGTTTTATACGAGCGCTTGTTGTTGGTTATATATTTGTTGCTATGACGACTTAATAAAGTCTCTCTGACTCTGACAGGGTTTCTGGAGTCATGCTCCACCTGGTGGCAGACGGCTGCATGACATGTAGGAGGAATGAAAACAAACAATGGGGGTTTCCTGTTCCGCCCTCTCTCATGACGGCCGCATAGACACACCTCCTCCGATCAAAAACAGAAACATGTCCTGCAAACTGAGATTTAAAACCTGTTTGATGTTAAAAACGCTGAAAGCAGGAAAAATGGAAACGAGAGGAAAAGAAAGAAGAACGTGACGCAGTAAGTGGATGAGGACTGGTGGGCCTGCTATGTGCTGGCAATGCTGAAGACAACATGAGGCAGACATCCCTCCAACCTGCCGGGCAAATACGGAGATTATCTTACAAGAAATTCAAGAATTTCAAAAGGAGAGCAAAACACACAGCTCGAAGATATAAAAGGTAATTTTACCTTAGATGTCTTAGACCAAGAGGAGAATCGGAGAGGTGGAAAACCGGACTGAAGCAGGCGAAACCAGAGTTCAAATACTGGAGCAGGTGATGAAACATGTGCTCAAAACTCAAGCCCGACACGATGAAAAACTTACGGACCAGGAGGAGCCAGGAGAGACAATATTAGGATGTATAATGTCACAGAAAATGAAGAGGGGAGGTTTTGTGGAGAAACTCAGAGAAAACCTGGACAGTCCACCCGACACTGAGCTGCACACAGAGCGCTCACCTCCAAGCCTGCCTCCACTGAAAGACTCAGATCGATGGTGATCACATTTCACACTACGAAACAAAATTCTGCTTAAAGCATGTCTGTGAAGGTTCTCAGTCACGGA